ACATACATACATACATACATAAATACATACATACATAAATACATACATACATACATACATACATACATACATACATACATACATACATACGTGCATGCATACATACATCTTTATACAAGCACATCATCTAACCATAACCCTTTTATTCCAGTAAAATTGAAAACATATCAGTTGTGTGTTCACGTCTCATGCACGCTTTAGGTTGATCGAGTCCAATTCTAATTTCGGAAGACGAAATAAATGTCTTGCCCGAAGCGAATCATGCTGTTACCCATTCCGATCCCAAAGCCAAAATGGACCACATGTTGAAAACAGATGGTGACACGTTTCCTGTTCACACAAAAGAATCGCCTTATGCCTTACGCGAGTCATGCTAATACCTACAGATGCCACTGCATGTTAATTGAAATTCACTAGATCTAGTCGCTCTTAACAAGCACTAAAATAGGATTAGTTCTCGAAGATCTGAAATGATCTCTTCGTTTTGTTCAAACTAGACTCGTGGTTCAAATCTACATTTCCTATTACGTAAGATTGCAATTAGGTTATATGGCGTAGTAGACTGCGTGAAATATTTTTAAGTATATGACTGAGTTCGCATAGATAAAGTTTGAGTACCTGGTATGAACAATGTTTTATTGAACAGAAAATCAATAACAGTTGGTGATCGACTTTATTTCTTTTATAATTATAATGATTTGATGTTCCAAACAAAAGGAGATTGATGTTTTAGGGGCCGGCTATTTGAGGAACAAAAATAAATTGTGAACCTGAGATAATCATTGGTCGAAAATTGAGAAAACATATGACATATAAGAGAATGAGAATCAGATTCCACAGTCCCGTCATTTTCCCCCTATCTTTCTGTACTGTGCTGCTCCAAAGTAGTTTGGCTTAGTGACAATCGGGGCTAGACCCCAATACAAGCAAATATCTCCCTCAGCAGCAAGCAGAGCCGACTTTTGGTAAACTCCAAAAGACTGTTGATTAATCCGGTATGGTTGCCGGTTTTCATCAACCCCGGANCCCCGGAGTAATTTCGGTTTTATCCCTTTGTTTTTGATAGAAACCCTTGCCCCAATGCAGATGGAAAGTAAGTCTAGCAGCCACTTGGACGGCAATTAATTTTACAACCGATCGAACCAATCACGCTCGTTGCTCGGCGCATCCTGCTGTCTATGTAACCCATTAATGGGTAATCCGGTGTGACTTATCAAAAGATATATATAAAACAGAGAATCGCTTTGAACCTTCATTGGTTCACTAAGTCGGTAATTGCTTACCATTCGTATTAGCATTTCACTGTTCATAGCTGACTGGCCCCAACTGGGAGCACATGGATCGGTGGGAGTAGGGCATTGGTTCTCTGCAAGTGACTCGCTCCTGTCTCGAGTCACAGAATGGTTGTGTTCTTCTTCGAGCAAGAGGGAGGATGAAAACTTTGCATTCTCTCTCTGGGGCAGGCGAAAATTCTGAGGCTGATTGACTGCACAGTCCGCTGGAGACATTTCCAAGCTATTTACACCATCCAAATTCTTAGTGTTAGTAGGTCGTGGTTGGGGTATTGCGGATGTTCCCGGTAGACCAACATAGAACGAACTTTCCGAAGTTTGACCATTTGCATAGGACATCCATCTTCTAGGTGTAATGGACTCTAGCGACATTTTTTCACTGGAAATTAAATTATCACTGCTTTCCAAAGAATGACTCGTTATTGACTCGGTTGACGGGAAGGTCGAAACAGGCGAACCAAATCCTCCTAATTTTAGACGATTATAGCTGCCTATCAAAGGCAGCATGGTTGAATGTACGGACAGTGGGGAAACTGACTGGTCTTCTGTCGGATAGTTCTGTTCAAGTAGCCTCATTACTGTGAACTGGCTATCAGTTTTATTCACGTCCGCTATTCTCCGTGCACGTTCATCACCCGAGCAGGCAGACAATCGGTGTTTCGTCTGTTGTATAATGCTGACTTGTTTACGCCATCTGGCACGTCGATTGCTGAACCATACCTTTTGAAATGGACAGAATTACAGTCAAAAGTTTATTAAAATAAAATAAAACGGAAATATGATTACTGAAGTTACTTGAAAAATAGAGAATTCCACCAGGTGATTCCGAATCATCAAGCGAGATTTCCATGTTATAACACCGATGAAATCAGTTAAGAGTGGTTTCTACTGCTTGAGTTATTAGTAAAAGATTAATCACCTTGCTCGTACGCACAAGAATTTAAACGAGTACTTAAGTACAGATAATCTCTCTACCACTGATTTAACCTTATAAGGTAATCTCAGCTTGGCGAATCCATTGACCGAAACTGGAGGTCGAACTTAAGCTATTAAGTGCGAGACAGCTAAAAGAAGATTAATTGAATATCGAGAAGTAAAAATGGATTGTCTCTTGCTGTACGGATCCTCTTTACCGACCTAATTTTTCATAAAGATGCTCTCTTACAGATTTCTATCTTGTCTTTAATAGGGGAGAATCATGAAATGTATTCAGCAATGGTCCCTCAGTCGAAGTGAGCAGGAATACACCAACTCTTCTAAAACTGTCCGAATTCAGTTGATTTGTGTTTATTGACCGTTATCTCTCAGACAGTCAGTACTGAGGTAAAATCAACAATCTGTGATAGCTGTGAATTGTGTATTAATCATCGTGTGAGAGGTTGAAAATACCTAAGTGTTATGCATTCGTATCAATTCTTGCCATGTTTCTCTGCGTATGCCAGATAGTTTAGCCGAGAGTGATTGACTCACTAACCCTGCATGACAAATTTTCATTACAAACCAGAAGTAGTTTTTTTCAAACTGACATGCGTAAGATACTTCATTTTCGGTTGCCTCTCAACGTAAAACAATAATATAAAGCAGAAGCTTAGACGAATATTGCTGCTGCAGTTTCATGAAGCATCACTGCAAAAAGTCACAAAAGCATCCGATATAAATGCTTTTCTTGCTCAACTATCACCCAATGGATTCCAGTATTACATTTTAGTTCCAGTTTCCCTAGGGGCCATTTTGATTGAGCCATTGATTTTCGAGTATGAAAACTCTGTTACATCTACCGCGTAAGAATAGGTCAGAGGATCGATTCCAAATGTGAGTTAATCCAGCCCAACCCTAGTTTGCCTCAGATAAAGTGACAATCTTCTAGATGAAACATGGACAACAATCAACATTCTCTCGAAAAATGATAACATTAAATAAGTGAATCTGTTTTGTTATATATCTGATCGACACACATGGTCATTGTTTTCAAATTAAACCACTTGTGTAGGAAAGCTCGGTGAGTTTTCACCACTTCGTACTCTTTCTAGCGTACTCACGTTTCGGACGAATTACTCATAACAAACTTTAATTGACCCAAGTTCATTCGGAAACAAAAGCACTGACAGTTGAAGTTTGACGCAGCTACATCTACGCCTTTGTTCGGCTTCTTCTTACAGCTGAATAAAACAATATCTAATGGATGGATTTATGAGGTGCATTATTCCGTGCATTTGAATTTAAATCACTTTTGGCTCGTGTGTGGTAGCGTATATTTGCCTTTTTCTACACGCCAGATCAGAGATTTTTCCCCACACTCATGCCCAAATTTATCTTTATTCTGAGAAACAGGGGTCGAAACAATTCCAGACATGCAGACTCGTGCTGATTATCACATTCCGAATTACTTTTCCGTCCATGTTTATGTGACTTCATGGAGTAATGAACAAGTTATTTGTATAGCAATAAATTCACCTACAAATATTTTATTTGCCAAATTTTACTGCCAATAATGAGAACAGAATGCTCAGGTTTTATCGGTAAATATCCCCCCCCCCCCAGGTGGNAAATCCACAGTGTTTCTCGATTGACATTCCATGGAATACTATCCATGCCCAGCAGCAAACTCATTTATTACCTTTTCCGAGTGGACCATATATGAGTAGTACCTTTGCAAAATCGTCAACTTCAAGTATCGATTATACCCACTTGTGCATTCGGCGAGGACAAACCGAATGCTATCTGCTTTATTAATTATTTTTTCGAATATCCTTATTTTTAATGGTGTTATGTACCACAAGACTGATCAAGTTTATTACACTTTATAAAAAACAGTGCCAACGCTCTTTTCACGAAAAAACCTCACTGGGGTGAGCAGGTCGTCAGTGGGGACGTGTTTTCCGTGAGCCGACTCTCACTCCATTTCAATTATATTAATTGTTCATGACTTGACCCCGCTGTCCGGAATTCGCATTTCGCACCACCAGCAAACTCGAGAAACATTCTATCTTTTGATCAATCCTTGATTTTCATCTATCAGAGCTTCTATATTTTTCTCGCATTCTACTTCCTTTAATTGAATATATAGTGATGCAATTTTCAGGCGAGGGGAAGCGGTCAATTGAAGAGCTATCGTAAAACACAGCATAGTGAAAGCCAGGCGGTTGTGGTGGGATTCCGGGGTGATAAGCTGGTGACCTTTAGCACTCGGCCACCACCGCGGTTTACTGAATTTGGCCGCAACAGCTGGACAATGCATTCAGCTAAACTTATGTTCCACTATAAAGCTCTGATAATTTTTCTGCTACACCAATAATTTGAATGAACCGGATTTACGACGTCTTTCTTACACTAAAATCAGTTTATCAACTCTTACCTCGTTCTGATGGTAAATAAAAAAACGGACCTAGTTCTATTATACCACGAACTCACTCCATCAGAATAATCGGCAGAATTTGAAATCTACTCTGACGAATAATGTATATCATGCTATTGAATTGCATTTCACATAGTGGAACACGTTTATTCACTCGTGGTACTGTAACTGAGTGCACTCAGAACGAAATGTCCCAAACACATTACATTATTAACTTGAGAGGATAGTGTAAACGAAAATTTTAAAATTAAATTACAGCAAGAATGAAATCTTTATAAGCGATCTTCATGTGTACCTGAATTTTGCTCTCGGGTAAGTTCGTTTGTGAGGCGAGATATTCCCGAAGTTGAAGATCCGGGTAGTGTGTTCTTTGGAAAGCCAATTCGAGGAATGCCACCTGACAATCCGTAAACACAATGCGATGAAGTCAGTCGACCATGGTCAATAAGGAATGTCATCAAAGATCAAAAGGAACGGTTCCCTGAGAAAATAGCAAATTTGACCCTGAAATATCCTAACTTAACTGGTGAGGTGTACGTGGCGCAGAGGTGCTGGTTGCGTGCACGCGTGCCTTCGAATTCCACCGACGCTCTTGATATCTTCACTACACAAACTCCAATATCCATCACTTAATTGTCTACCAAAGCAACATAATATAAAAGAAAGACTATCACTGCATGGTCCATGTGTTAGTACAGAATCCTCATAATATTGTTCCACTGTGGACCTCCCTTTTTGGTGGTTCGTTCATTCCCCAATGTTGAGTGTCTTTTGTTTTCGGCAGAATGATGTAAGAAGCGAGAATAATCACTGGATAACTTGTTTGATTTTATCAACAAGATAATCGTATAGTTGAGGGCTTGGTTATTTTGCTCTTAGCTAGAATATTGTCTATTATTTTGTGGCCATTCTCAACAAAGCGTAAATTGCAAACCTGGACCTAATTGGGTCTCAACAGTGATACAAATCCAGCCACCAATTGGGGATCGAAGCCGGGACATCAAACAGAATGTAAACGCACTAGAGTTCCACCTGGTAGAACATAGTAGCAAATCTTTGCAATTTTACGGCTTTCATTGCTTTTCAATAATCTGAGTATTGTCCTCCATGGTTGGGATTTGATCTAAAAATTCTGGACAAAATGAAGCACCGGATTTAGCAGCCCTGCGGTCAAATAGATGGTGTGTGTGCACTCAAATTGTGCCCTTCAATCGGCTCGATGGATAATCGCCGCTGAAGTGACCCAATAGAATCGAAACAGTTGTAGCTTTCTATGCTAAGTTTTCTATACGTTTTACGTGTCGAATTTTACCAGTAGTTTCTTACTTAATCATATATAATCAAGCTTTTTTATACTTGTCCGTTTTGGCTCCATGTGTATATTCCAAATCACGACTGAACACCAAAATAAACTTCAGATAATATGCAAAATAATCAACGTTATTATTCATCAAAAGATACCTTAAAATGAAATAAAGTACATATTCTCTACATTTCCAGTTACTTGACGTTTATGTTTTTCAATTGATATTGTAATTCATCTGCTCTGATTTTGTCTTCAACACGTCAAATCAAATTGCTTGTGTGATAAATTGTTGCGCGTTTGTTTGGCTACTTATAAGTAGTCAATTTGTGTTCGTCATTCCCTCCAGTAATCGATTTATTCATTCTGGTTGCTTCATCACTGTAGGCTTTATGATGAGTATCCGTATAACGATGTGGAATTTATGTCAGTTGCATAATCCTATCATCACACTTTCTTTCATAAGCCAGTATATTTTCAAATTAATAGAAAATCACAATCTGGTTTCTATAATACAGATTAAAGGTTACCTGATTTTCGGTAAATGTAGTCCTGTTCCTGCGACCGCTCATCGTAACGCATGTGGAATCGCTTGTGTTTCCTTCCAAAGGAGATATGCGAATACTTCGAGCACTCGAATCCCAGTCACCAACATCAATACGTAATTGTGACGCTTGTTGTTCGGATACCTGTCCTCCACAACTTGGGAGATCCGAATCATGAGGTACAGATGATTGTTTCATCCACGATGATGTAGCTACTTTTTGCATTGTTGGACTTGATGTTTCGGCTATACTATCCCGATCGCTTTTGCTAGATCTTGGCGGGGAGGATCCTTCGAGGAAAATAGCACGACTATTTGACACGGCTGTTTCATCATCTGATAGTCGACGGAGTCGTTTACGACTTGGTGAAGTATTCGTTGATTTACTCGAAGACTCTGAAGGCCATCTTTCTGTTGGTGAATCGATCGCCTCATTCATTGGTCCAGTTATTTGAGCAGAAGGCGACCGATTAGAACTTACAAGCTTCGAACGCCTGGTATTGTCTTTTGATTGGTTAGATGAAGGGACGTTATCTTTGAAAGACAGACCTAAAGTGAAAGTGAACAGACAGAAAGGTAACTTCAGTATTGATTTCGAGACAAAGGTACTTGAATTATTCCACTACTGCTTGTAGACCTCGGAATAGCATCAAATTCTGCGATCCTGTTGCATCATCGGTTATTAACGGAATTGACTGCTTCATTTCAGAACGTAGTTTAATTTGGCAATCTTATTACTATTCCAACAAAGAATATATTCAAGAAACATAAAACGAGGTAATAAAAACCAATCGGAAAATAATTTTTGCGAATCAGTAGACTATTTTGTGAATTTTACTAATGGGATGCTTAGGTTCCTTGGGTCAAATCGCTACCAATTTACTCGGGTTATCTTAGCACTTCGCATTTATGAATTCATTCAGAACTGCTGGATATTGCCTCCGAGACGTTCAGCGAACAGGATTCATATTCTTAGGTGAATATGATTCCAGTCTTCTGACAGCTCAACCGTTCAGTCCTGTTTCGGACACTGAGTCCATCATGAGTGACGCACGGGGGTGGAGAGGCTCAGACAAAGCGCTCGGTATATGATAAATATTGAGCAACCGATGACCTTAGTCAATTGCACCTCTGTCCGATTCAGTGTCACCCCTATCAGTTCTGGTGGTCTCGAAAACACCACTGTGATCACCACTCATCGAAATCAACGAACCGTAAACCTGTTGACATATCTGTACCGCATTTGCATGACATCCGTCTGTCGCAGCGACTCAGGAATGTCATAACGAAAGTGGGGAATGCAACATTTCTTCGTCCTCCGTTATACACACAGTCAAACAGTCTCTGAGGTCATAGATGATCAAGTAATTCCGCTATTGACTAGCTTGGTGTTTCAATTCAACTTGCATGGTGAACCAAAACAATGGCGACAAGAACATGGAACGTGACTGTTGCCCGGAACAAAAAACATTAGCCCTGATAATCAATGAGTCCATATTGAAAATTAGTGGAGTTCGGAATTCCAAAGAATCGTTTCTCGTTTTAACTTTACTGTTCGAGATAGTCTCAATAAGAATAGCTCAACTTATGAGTACCGAGTTAAATAATACCTTAACAAAAAATTCTTGTCGCACGATAGCATATCCTAAAGAAATTAATGGATTATTGAGTTTCAGTTTCAGTGTTTCCAGCCGTTAACCATGCACATTCGTGAGCTGGTTTCGGTTGCTGTCTTTTGGCCGCCCCTTTGGATTAAAGAGCAGAATGCAGATTGGAGTGTTGAAAGCAAATTCAAGCGGAAGATAGAGAATTCATATAGACTGATGTTACAAAAATAATGAACAGATGCATGAGCACCGCTGTTTGTGACACCCAGCCATATCTCCTAACAATCGGTGGTCAATACAACCTCGACCAGCCTGGTTCTCACATGTGCACTCTTCACGTGCAGCAGACAACCGACGGAGTATAATACCAGCGAGAAGTTTAGAAATGATGTTGATTAAACTACTTCACCTGTGGTTTTCACAAGAGGATCTGTCGCCTTCCTTGTAAATCGGAGTAATAAAAGTTAATTCGATTGTTAACCAACAATTGCTTTCGATGGGGTCAAACTAGATGTCGAAGAACTTTGCTTTCATAGAGACAAATTTAGGTTTTCTTAAATTCATCGGTTTCTTAGCGTGTACCTAAATAGAATGTGTGGTTTATGAGTCTTATAATAATATTATCATTATTAAGACTGATTTTATTATCGTGTCTGTTCAAGTTTGCGAATGTATCGAGACCCTGAATCCAATTCATTATTCTGCTTCCAGTTTTGTAGTCCATTGGCGAGTTGTTCATTCTTCGTCCTTATTCCAATGCAGGTACCCGTACATCCACTACCGACGGATTCTCCGTGGATAAGTGTTGTCTCATGCTCAGTTTGTTATCTATACTTCTGTCGTCATGACCAAGACGAGGTACTTCGTTGCCACCTGTAGAATAGGTGAAATGGGTCATTTTCGTTCCCCTAACCGGTCCAGCTTGATTTCATTAACCGATGCCACGAATTTGAGAACTCTGTTCAATTAGCTCCCATAGTAACTATGCCCACGTTCAAGTTTGATGGTGAACGAAGTTTGTGGAGGGAGCAGAGCTGCGAATGAAATCGGGTTTGTTCGCTTCTGTTGACCCGCCTCAATTGGTCAAATGGGACACAGCATCCTCAGGACGCGCACAGTCTTTGCCCAACGATCACATAAGAACTGGAAAGCTTCGTCAAGAGCCCACATTTTTCAAACCACTCAGCTATGAATGGATGAAAAGATCCACCTTCAATGTTTATGTGCGCTTGTGTTTTAGACAACTGATTGGGTATATCGATGGGTAGAAACTTACCAACCGCGATTTGAAAATAGATAGACAACTGCGTATCATGTTGCTCGGATATTAGCGAATCCAGAGACGAGTCAACTGAGGCCGATCGATAAGGGGAGAATTACTCAGATGAACTCATGCCACGACACGGAATACTGCTCTCGTGAAGAACAGACAGTTTGCTTTTAGTTCATTTAGTGACATCGAAAGAAACTTTCTATTCGGAAGTTTGGTGAGTATTCTTCATAAGAGGACTCAGATTCAAAAGTATGCTTTTTCAATGTATGAATAGCTGTAGCAGAGCCAAACTTTTCCGGGTGTAAGCAACTGTACTTCATTCATTATCTGAATTTCGTATCTCAGTAGTCAATAGATATATTATTTGTGTTTTTTATTACCACGTGAAATTCAATGTTGTGCGCAGTGCATTACCACACTGTCGATTGCACCGCTATGTAACCATCTGTAAGTCAGCAAATACCAATCAGCGTGAGGCAGGCAAGCAAACACGCTGGTGAAAACCGAGATTAGTGGAAAACGTCGAGACGACGTTTTGTCAGGTGTAAATTTGGCTCAGCAACTAGGCCACAATCGTTCATCCTGGAGCAACCACATCATGGCCATAGGAGTCTTCTACCCCAGGATTCAGTAAACACAGAATCACCTTATAAGACGTGAGCAGTGATTGTTACATTTCATTCGGTGGGTCACAGCACGCGCAGCCACAGTCGATGATGAACAACACTATCCTAGTCGGTTGGGTGCGAAATTTGGGGATCTTTGTATGCATGGTGTGGTTATTGCTCCTGATTCTGTTTGGAATCAACCTCGTTATGTGTAGCTGAGTTGTGCCTGTGCCTGCGTGTGTGTGTGTGTGTGTGTGTGTGTGTGTGGTTTAATGCTTGGGCCCAATGATGAGACCATCAATGGCAGTTTGAACATGCACACGTGCACACACGCACACTTACAAGAGTGTATGTAAATCCATTCGTATACCAAGCCCTTGTGAAAGAAATAGCATCTCACTGAAACACGTGCGTTCAGTTTGAGGGTCGTACGTGTGAATCTGAATTGTCAAGAAGTGCGGTCACAAATTAAGTCTGTCGACGGCCGAACGAAGTGGCATAGCACACCAACAGCTAGCACTAAATTACAATCGTTTACTCTGGCAGTGAATGGAAGTAGCTAACCGACTTGCACACATCTTCAGATAACTTCAGCTGATTTTAGACATGCACAAAATGTTCAACAGATCGTAATTCAAACGAACTGACCGACAGCAACTGCCGGTCCTAAGGATCTGCATTACACAACCCCGGTGGTCGTATACTCGAGCAACACTACCGTCACCTAAGTTTCCCCTTTTCTTATGTATCGCAGAGAAGTCCCTTGATTGATTGTTCCCCTTCTTGAAGTGTGTCTGTACAACTATGCCTTCAATAAAAAAGGAGTAAAAAATACAAGGAAAGAAAGAGAATTAGCAGTGACCATATATGTCTGTGTAGCGGATAAGATTGCTTACATCCATCCCCTAGTGTCGACTTGATGCGAACTGCAAACTGTTGATTCTGTTAGATCGACAAAAAATGTATGGCAAACTTCTTATCATCCACTCTCGTATTCAAATCCAAGATGAGACAGTAGCTGTTGTCATTACCCATTGCAACCCACATGCAATGCATACTTTGGCAATAGACGAAACGCATCGGCTGCACATAATACTTCCGTTTTCCTAATTACCACCCTTCAGGAGTAAATTTTAGCTTGGAGTCCAAACACAATGGTACAGCTAACTCTGCAATATATAGTTAATTTTTTGTAGCAAACCGCAACTCGGACAAACGAATTAAAGGATGCGGTTTTAATGATCCCTCGCGAAATTCGTGAGCAGGCGATAACGTAATTTTCGGTTATTTCATTCAAAGTGTAATATAGTGCCTCGTATCACATGGTTTGTTCACCTCTCATCTGGAAATTGAACATTGGTGCCTCATGTGCAATCTGCTCCCCCCCCCCTCACACACAAATACGAGATGCATTGTTATAGTTTGAAACCAAATGTAGGAAAGTGGTTCACTATTGAAAAATTAGGTTTATATTGGTAAATCATTATTATAACTCAATTTTGAGGTTGACGGATCGCGTGAACATGTTTCGTAGACAGATCACACCTGCCAGCACTACAACATAACTGAAGCTGATTTGAACTTGGTCAAACACCGTAGCTCGGGAGTTAGATCGTGCACTGATACAGGCGTAGAAGATATCCATGTGTAAGTTCTAATACTACCGAAGTTACTGAACATTATCACAATCCGAACATAACACTGCAATCTGCCAAACAAACAGAATTGAACATCTCTGTAGACAATCTGACGGATAGTTCACGGTGAAGAACACGGCCTCAGTAAAACGAGTAGAATCGTTGCTGATCAGTTGAATATCTTACGCGAAAGATTAGATGGTTCGTTTCACTACCATTATGTAAGACAAAAGAGAGCAACTTATCCTCGAGAAATCCCCCAAAAAACTGATTATTTGTACAACAAAATACGAATGAAGTGGAAGACCATGAGATGGAGTGTCACCGTATCAACTCCGCTGAGTCAGAAATAAGGATATAAAGCCTGAATTTTCACACCTGTTACAAATGGTCGTTTCGGTTCTCCTTGATTGTAGTCTCCGTGGGCACGAATCGGTCGGGTGTCATCTACGACTAGTGCCATCGGAGGAAATATGACATTATCTGGTGATCGTTCCTTTATACTATCCCTGAGATCATGTCTGTCAACAACGCGAATCGCTCATTTCGTTTGCGTCCTTATACCCCATCCTTATCGGATAGAGGATAGGCCAGCATTCACACAATATTCGAACCCGTGCCTGTGTACCTACCATGGCCTATTTTTCACCCTACAGACCAACTTTTGGGTCTCGAGCTCGTTCGAAAGTCGGTGATGACTTATGAAGTTATGCCACACATTCGGCGAGCACAAGCAGAAAAATGTAGTCAACATGTGCTCCAATATTGAACCGTTAAAGCATTGTGCCTGGGTGTGCCCGTGTGTGTGCGCATGAGTGTGTGTGTAAAGAGCGCTTTCCGTCACAGGGCTGTTCCCGCCATGTACTCACAAACTGAGTGATATGCTGTGTTTATATACGTGTGTGTGGTCGGCTGGATGAAGTGAATTTTGGGTTCTCGTCTTTCGAAATCGGACTCCATGGTATCGTGTGAACAGACCCACCATCCTTCTTGATCGGTCCAGCCACAAAGCTGGGCTCCTGCTACCCGCGGACCACTTCCCCCACCGTCTTCCAGCCACTTTATTCCCTCGAACAATCACCGTCACAAACTAAGAGTGTTTGCGCGCGCGTGTGGGGGAGGGGGGTTATATGCATGCCCTGGTTCCGCCACATCGCATGGCACGCTATCGCACGCCACGGGTGCAGACCATTCGACAGATCCGGAATTGAATTTCGACCAGTTTTGGTGAAAGGAGTTTTTCAACCGGTGATTTATTGGTCACAGCTATTGCTGAGTAGGTGCTGTGTGTACGTGAGAGACTCACCATAGAGCACACACCCGATATCACTATCGTGAAAGTTGTGTGCGTCAAACTACTCAGCACTACGTTACGGAATGACGTGAACTGGGACAAAACGGATTAATTCAAGCCGGTCTATAGAATGGGGATTAGATAAATCTATAGATGTTTGGGTAGCTTTCTTTTGGACTGTCATGGACAAAGAAATATCACATTTGATAGTGTATCACATGTGCGATACCTGACACTATCACCGATACGTTGTAAGTGGAACGTTGTGTACCCCATCCCATTTAGATGGCACGGGTTTAATTTATAGCCGAGTTCTCCGCTACTGGAAGGCTTTCATTGACCCCGCAAATGAATTCCCTGAATTGACGGAGGCACCCTGATTCAACTACCATCGAAATTAGGCTCTCCAAATATTAGCGGGTATAGAACTAGGAGGATATGTTTATGAAACGAATGTAACGTGAATTGGGGAAAGTTCTGAAACCTTCCTGATTCGTGATAGCTCCGCGAAACCTTCATAAGTGAAATTCTAAGCTAGTTTCTTTCTGCTTGCAGTACGGCGGACGATGACATATTCACTTTCGCTATTGACTTCGATAGTCTAGGAAACGGAGTTTACTCACCTTCGGAACCTTTTACGTAGTAAGCTTAAACAGAGTGTCAGCTCGGTGGTCGTGTCTAGCACGCTCACAGCCGAAAACCTTGATATTGATACGAGAGGAATAAACGAGCTAAGTTGTGAGCTACACTTATAAAAATGTAATGATTGACAAGAGAAACTGGATGCGAGCCCGGATTACATCTCCATTTGAACACAGTAAGACGTAACTCAGTAAAAGCCGGTGTTAGCACTTACGAAAGAGAAACAATCACAGCTCANTCTCAGTCAGTCTCCCTATAGTAACATCTCATCTGGTTTCTCATTCTCATAGAACTGGCATTCAGTAAATTATGATCAGCGATGTACCTTTTAGTGGAAAATGTAATTTTTGTGTTTTTTTGTAATATATATATGTATATATATGCACACATTCACCTCAAATTCACTGGAAGCCCTATTAATGTGTAACGCAACTTTAAATGACAGCAAACACATGATAAATCAATACTTCTCTTTTTTCTGTTACAGTATCACGAGATCCCGTCATCCTAAGTGCGAATTTTTTGTTACACACCGTTGTTCGACGCCCCCCTATCCTCTCTTTTTCTCGTCCAGCCAAAACAAGTACACATTTTAGCTATTTACAAACCTCCTCTTAGCCACATGCGTACAAATTAACCCCCGTCTTGTGCACATCTGGGTTGTTGCTTTGGCCTTAGTGAACTTCATGCTTATGATGAGGTTTACAGATCCTTCTCTGTTTTCTGCTGTCCACACGTCTTTTCGCACGATCTGTGTGAACACATGTATGCCTATGCGGTGCAGACCGGAACAAGTCGGTCTATTTACTGGCACTCAGTTGGTTACTCTAGCTTTCTATTCGTTACATAGGTTGCAACGTAAATAAGGCGAGTGGTTGCTTATCGTCCGAAGCTCAGTACACTTGGAACCAAGGCGGTAGTTGGACTGTGAAACCGGATGCGCAAGTTCGCCAGGAGAAACATAAACGACACTCGTTCTGCTGCATCTCCATGGTTTTCTAGGTACTATTGATGGTTCGCCTGGTCAACCTAAACTGAAATGAAAGTGCGTCTTCCAGGTTTGGTGTGTGTGTGTGTGTGTGTGTGTGGTGTTTGTGTGAGATTTCTCTGATGTCCCACTTTTCGTCACCTGGTTGATGACATTAACGTCTGTGTTTGTTTGAAACTTTGAACGGAATGGGAACCAATGTAACTACCAGACCGGTTCTTTCGCGCGAGATGAGAGTTCCTTGGTTCATTTACAAAAATATAATGATAACAACAACAACAACAATTTCCACGCTTGGTATTCGCGCTGCTAACCTGGCAATTTCCTCCGTGGTCATTTTTATTATAACATGAATGGTTCTCTCATTTCAACATCCTAACTGTTATGTTATTTATCCATCCCACGGATAAGGGATTTTCACAAACCAATGAATATCTAATGGAAACCTAATCAGTGTTTGATGCCCACCTAACGGACTGATTCAAAACAACCCATTCTAAATTGATACAGATAGTAGTTTTCGTCAAACTGATGACCATTTAGCTCAGGGGTAAGACTTGTGACTCCCAGTCCGGAGGTTTACGGTGTAACTCCGAGCAGAGTAACAACCATAGTATACCCCGTTGACAAGCCCCACTAGGAATGAGGCTATTTGTCATTAACATTTTCAGTTATTGTGGCATAATGTTTCTAAAGAACTATATCCTTCATAAGTCTGTTTTACCTACTTTGAATGAGGCTATCTACAGCAGTTTGTTGAACATTTCATAATCTTGTGATTTGACAAGTCCATTTTTGCGGCAGAGAGAGAAACACTTGAATAGTACTGGTGAGTTAAATAATAACATCGATATATCTGTGTCATATACTAAGGGATGACAGAGCGTCTCTTTGAAACAAAGAGAAATGTAAAAACTCATTGCAGACCACAAAAGTCTTCTTTAGTTGAAGATTAACACATTTCCGAGCCAAATAATTGCAAAACCTAGTCTCGTTCATTGTGGTCGATGGAAAATACACTTACCTTCGCCGATGTGGTACAGAGGTGTTGCTCGCCTGTCCGGTAACGAAGATCCAGAAGAGTCGGTGTCAGATTGCTCCATATCGCGTGAGAAGTCCGCACCTCGGTTCGATGTACTCTGTGTTTCCTTTCGCGAAGATAGATCCACTGCTTCGGTGTGACCGTCTGATTCTGAATTATGCGGCTCATGATCGGAGGTTGAAGCGGCTCTCTTCGACGGTACGATATCCCGACCCTCAACCAAACGGCCATATTTCACTTTGGGTGGTTTACAGTCAAAACCAAGTGGTATTTTTTGACTGGTGCTTTGAGAATGCGATTCATCAGGTGATCGGTCACCAGCTAGTTTTCGATAACAAGACCTTGAAGGTGGTCTCGTGCTACTCACCGAAGTACCTGTGCCATGCTGAATTGTTCGTGCTTTTCTCGCTCCACCCGTGGCTCCCGGGCTGACACTTCCTAAAATGGAAACGGGCATTTTTGAACAAATTGAGACTATTGGCAACTCCCACTCATCACCGAAATACATCACGACAAGTATTTGTTGGATAAAAATTCGTTGTATGCAATCACCGAAAACCAGCCGGTTGGAGTCTGCGAACAAGACCGAAACGATTGTATGATCCACGAACCAAATGAAGACTGCCATATTTAAAATCGCTGACCACGTGAACTGTTGCTAAAATGGTTTAACCAAATTCCTTTGAGCATATGAGTTGTATCTAATGCTACATCATTTGACCGACCCCCGAATTATGAATGAGAGTTCAAAAATGTGATCACACTTCATATGCAACTTTTAAGTAATATGTCTCCTCTCATATTTGTTGACTACAGTATCGAACGTTAAAATCATGCTAATTACTGCGTTTTTAAAAATACTAAGTGGCATATTACTAGACGAAACCTTCCCTGGTTCGAATATATATTTTTTCATGAAAGCCAGTCTCCTTAACGGTTAAATCTTGAAGCGATACTGATACGTTAGAACTTCTCCGACTACTGATTTCATACACTAAGCCGCTACGTTTTCACTACCCATAAGTGACTGAAGCAGGGGTGTACATGAATCCAGTGCAATCATGCGGCGCTCATGTATTTATCAATTCTCATCCGTTAAACAACGCATACCACGCGTCTTCATTCACTGTATCATCCAAAAGAGGCTTATTTTAAGAATAGATTGGTCTCTGAGAGAAAAAACAAACTGTCACCAATATTAACGGTTTGGACTAATCACAAAGAAAGGAGCAAGGTTTGTTACTTCTTGAATACCGCGCTATTGTTTCTCGAATAATTCTTTCAGCATTGCTAAACTTCGATTTGAAGTTCAAGCTAATATCAGATCTACTGGTGACCCTAATTTTGAGCAAATGTTTCTTTCAAAACCCGCACCGAAATCTACCTTTCATATGTGTGTATCATACTCCGGTTTATAGAATTAGTACCTGAAAAATACAAAAGCACTCCTTTAATGAATAGAGTATTTACTGTACAGAACTACATCCTGAAATTGTGTTGCGGTATTTTCGAAAATAGTGAATTTCCTCGAGAAAAATTAGGAACACGTAATAACTTTGAACTTTCCATGGAAATCTTGATTTGACATCTCATTTAGTTCCCCTTTTTGAATTTTCATGGACAGGAAAGGGGCGGGTGTGGATCATTTCTCAGCGAAACCGATGAGTTTCCGCTCCGGCCATTTCGGTGCTCGGTGGCCTCGGGCGACGTGCGTAACTGAAAGTCATGCTCAGTCAGCTTTCCCACCCATCCACCCACTCCCTATTCTCTTCCTCTCATGGTGCACAGAGCATGAAAGGAGGGAATCACCTACGAATCGCATCCCATTCTGTCATTTTGATCAACTCACTTTGCTGTGAGACAGTTAGTGTTGACGTTACACACTTGTTTCTGCTTCATCAGCTTGACTTGTCAACGGGTTGAGCAGGATTGATGAGGCGGAATGCATGAACCACTTTTTCGCGGATCGGACGGTCATACTTACGAGAGATCCGTGGTGGATTGGGACCAAGCACGGTAAACAGAACGGACAGTACACTGGGTGGACTTTAACATGTGCACCCAGTTCATTTTCGTAATTATCACTTTAGTTGTTGGAGCTTAATTTATCACACCGAAACAATTAAGTCGAATCTATGCGATCGAAGTATTTCTAACACAAACGGAATTCGCTCACTTGTAGAAGTCTTCCATTCTGTCTGCCCCCACAAGTGAGCTGATAAAATACACGCTGCACAAAGCTGTGAATAGCATCAACTCGTAGGCCCAGACCTCATTGATACTTCTAGTGTTTGTAACTAAAATCATTCACAAGAATAACAACAGATAGATTCTGTATATTTTTTATTTAGTAGCTTTCTAGTGCTCTGTGGTCTGGTCTGGCAACACTGTTCATTTGCATACTTTCATCAAGTTTCAGAAAATAAGTTGAAGTACCATGCTTTTCACAGTTGTCGTGACTGTTGAAACTCAGTTCTTCTTCATACTCATAAAGACGATACGTTCAATCAACACTTTAATCGGGGAAGATCTATACTCTCACGACTAAATTAAAATGCAGCGGAAATTTCGAACCTGGATACAATAACCAGTACAATCTTAACACGGCGTGTTGCGTTTACTAGACCTCTGATTTCGTGAGAGAACATGTTCAACAATGGTGGATTGTCAACTGCTAATTGTTACATGGATAAAGGCACACAAAGCATGTATCTCACGTCTAAGTGTATCGGTGAATGATTTCTACCAGTTCTGTGTGACACACGGGGAATTAGTCTTAAGCACACGGGACGCGCGCAGAGAGTGCATATGTGGTGATAGTGGATACAATGGCACATACACACATCTGACACTTTAGTTAACGATGCAGTTCGTTCGGTTTTTGACCGTGACACACGACAATGAGGCATGACTGGGTGAGTAAACGGGACCCCTTGATCCCTAGATCTGAGCAATCTACGTGCCGATTTCAGATTTCTGTTCGCGCATGTTCTTCATCTCCGTGAGTGCGAGCTTCACACAAACATGCAGAGGGATTTTTATTGTTTTTGGTGTTGTCGTTGTCGTCATCGTCCCACTTGTATCCATTTACCTGTCAAACGATTCGATAGCCGAATTGATTGAATAGGTGTGCCTGATTTAATGCGCGACACATTGCGTGGGGGTCGAGGTGAAAATACCACAGTTTGAGCACAAATACCAGCTAACTAGCTTGCACACTCTGCATACTATCATCACCGTTTTCCATGCCGTATCTCAGCCTCGTCGGATTTGTTTCATTGAGGATCCCAACACCGATTGTAATGAAATGGACCAACGAAAGTATTTGACTCGTAGTTCTTTGACCACAGTACATGCACTGAATTCAAAAACAACTAAACACCTTCACAGTTCTTTGTGCATGGAGGGTAGACAATTGAGACCAGGACTATGGAAACGTGCTTACCGGTTTCGTTGTATCTTTGTAAAATCTTGCTCACACAACCATGGGAAACTTTGAGTTGACGTGATATATCGCATGGTCTTACACCGTTGTTTGCTAGTTGTACAATACGTAAACGCGTCTCGTAAGGTAGTGGTCGACCGTTAATGAACATGCCACCCAATTGATTGATTCTTCCCTGACCTGCGTAGGGAAATGGGAGGGGGGGGGTGAAGGACCAATAGATGAAGTGGATAATTTTAAAAAACCACAATAACAACAGGCAGAGTGGTCATTGGTCCTGCTCTGGTATTTCGGATGGCGGTAATACTTTAAACTAATTGGCTTTGCAAAATGGACGTAAAACAAACACTGTCAAGATCATGCAATTTTATTATATTTCAGAATATGTCCATTTTGACATGACAACACACATTCAGAGGCGAGCAACTGTTTTCATTAATTCATCTTCTAGCCTGTACAGATGAAATAAGGAAATAGCATGTTGTATCTTTCATGTCGGTTGTCCTTTGGGGAAAATTCTCCGAACAAATAATTG